CCCCGCCCCCCCCCCCGCAGTTATGTTTAACTTCAGAAAGGGAAGTGCATTCAAATGAGGGAGCCGGGAGATAAAAGGAGGAAGTCACAAGTAAAATCCTTGCAAACAGGGATCAAAGACACGGGATTCGAGGCACGGAGCTTGCCACCGGAGGAGAAGGACTTCAGAGGGAGCTGGGGAAGCTGGCACGGCCCCCGGGGAGGGAGAGGTGTCCACAGCCCGGGGTTTTTCCTCCAACTTTGAAGCCGGGTCCAAACAAAGAGGACAGAAAAGATCTCAAACTTCGGCGGGTCACGGGAAGGGCCCAAAAAAGCCTTGGAGAACTGGAGGGTCAGCTCGCAGAGGACACCAGGGACAGGAGCCGTGGCCAGGATGGCCCACCAGATCTCCAGGTCTGCTCCCCAGATGATGGGGAGCAAGGGCTCCTGCAGAGGACGAGGAGAGCAGAGAGCTATGAGGAGAATGTGTCCAAACCCTCCCCTGCAGGCACTGGGTCTCAAATCACAGCATGGCCAGGAAAACTTAAATAAATCAATAAATCCTGAAAAATCAGCTATAACAAAGCACCAGGATGTGGTGGTTCCATGTGCCGGGAGGAGCTCGGCAGCCGAACAGCGGAATGGCTTCGAGGGATGTGTCATCCCAGAGCTGGCGAATGTGAAGCTGTTTTTTCCAAAGGATTTTAAGGGAGATGCTGGAAAAGATGGCCCAGCAAGGCAGAAAGTCGCCGAGCACGTGCTGGGTACGGGGGGAACAGCAGCGGGTAAAATTTAAAGCAGACATGCCTAAAATATGGCATATTAGAAGAAAACAAGCTTAATTTTCCCTCGCTCGTGGCCAGAGGCTCCGAGCTCCAGCTGTAAAAAAAAAGGTAAATAGTAGGATGGGTGTCAGTAGAAAGAGAGGAAAATAGGAAACCTTTCTCATCCACGGCACACCCGGTTCACCAGCAATTCAGTGCTCCCTGGGCCTAATGGAGAAAAAGGCACCCTTGGGGGGTGGAAAACCCCACTCACCCACCAAGTTTTTCACCCTATTTAACTTAAATCTGCAGGCCATGAGCTGATCCAATGCTGTTTTCTAAAGCAGTGCCTCTTTAATGTCTACGCCTTTAATGTCTATGCCGTTCTACCGCTCCAAAAATAGCTCAGGGATCCTGAAATGGCTCGGGAAGTCCCTCCTGGAGGCATCTGTCATCAGGCTGTCGGGAATAGCTGGGGACCGTCTCCGTCTGAGCAGGATCCCCGCTGTCGGGGATGCGTTGGCTGCCAACAGCCGTGACATGATCTGGGTCCAGGTCCAGGTCCAGCATCCATGGTGATGCCGATCCCCGTCGGGTCACGCTGGAGTTCTTGGCTTCCCCACCACCACTCATCTCGCCGGTTATCCCCTGTCGGCAGCTAATTTTAATCCTTGTGGTCATTTTTCTCCATCATGGAATTCATTTCCATGATTCTATGATGTTTCAGGGAAAACCATAGACTCACAGAAAGGTTTGGGCTGGAAGGGACCTTAAAGATCATCAGTCCCCCACCCTGCCCTGGGCAGGGACACCTCCCACCAGACCAGGTTGCTCCAAGCCCCCTCCAACCTGCCCTTGAACCCCTCCAGGGATGGGGCAGCCACAGCTTCTCTGGCCAACCTGGGCCAGGCTCTCACCACCCTCACACCAAACAAGTTCTTCCCCACATCTCAGCTCCATCTCCCCTCTTTCAGTGTCAAACCCTTCCCCCTCCTCCCATCGCTCCCCTCCCTCATCAAGAGTCCCCCCCAGCTTTCCTGGAACCCCTTGAGGGACTGGAAGGGGCTCCAAGGTCTCCCTGGAGCCTTCCCTTCTCCAGGCTGAACCCCCCAACTCTCTCAGCCCCCCTTCCCAGCAGAGGGGCTCCATCCACGGATCATCTCCGTGGCCTCCTCTGGCCCCATTCCAATAGGTCCTTGTCCTTGGCATGTTGGTGGCCCTGGAGCTGGAGGCAGCTCTGGGTGAAGGGTGTTCCCCCAGAGCGGAGCAGGGAGGCAGAAGGATGAAAAAAAAGCAGAAGGATGAAGAAAAGCAGCAGGAGAAGGGATGAGGCATCGCCCACCCCGGCTGCAGCCCCAGTCCAGGTGCAAAGGCGGCCCCGCTCGCATCCAAGGCGCTGCCCAGAGGGACGAGGGCTCCCTGAATAAACAACCTTTTCATCTGCGTGTGCTGCATAAATCACAGGCTGGGGAAGGCGAGCACCCGTCAGACCTGTTCTCCTCCACGCGCTGCCCAGGCCCCAGCAGTTAATGCACTTTGAGCATTAACCCCGAGACGGGGTGAGGACCATCCTTCCTCGGGGTGTCTTCACCTCGAGGGGACAGTTTTGTGGTCTCCCCCATTTTTTCCTGGCTCTAAGAGGTCTGCACCACTCCGAGCTGGGGGTAGGCACTTGAAACATGGCATCTTCTGGGCCAGATCCTCCTCAGATCTGCTGGTTCTGGGCTGGTGGGGAAGGTCTGAGTGATCCCAGCAAAAGGGACAGTCCGGATGAAAGCCTCAATTAAGGGCAGGAGTAATTAGCTGCAGAAACCTTCTTTGCAAGTGTATTCAAGGAGACAAAAACCATCTACCAGGAGCTGAGGGGAAACCAAACAAACCCTGGCACCAACTGGCAGGGTGATGGAGGTGGACACCCACCCATGGGTGCTCAGGTGGGTGCTCTGCCTTCCTGTCCCATCCCCTGCCTGGCTCCGGCTGCTCCCTCATTTCCTCCAGCCCTTTCCATACCCCTGGGGCTTCCTCATCATCCTCCTCCAGAGTCACCAACCTGCCCCCAGCACTTTTGCAACCGGTTTAGGAAAGATTGGGGGAGCGGATGGAAAACAAGCGGCTGCGGGAAGGCAGCAGGTCCCTGGGGACACTCCCGACCCGGCCACGCTG